AATAAATACATTAACGGGGATTTGCTTTATCATTACGACTCATCCATCCCTTTAATTTTACAAAAACAAGACATTTCATTTAATCAAAATCATCAGAATTTGAATCGATAGAGATGACACGGCGCAGGGAATATGCTAAGCATTTAAAGGTAAGGATCCATGAGGAAATTCGCTCTTACGCAGGAATCTGTAAGTCTTAATAGTCGCATTTCCAAAATAATTAGCGGATAGAAGCAGACCTCCGTCTGTTCTTATGAGTATATACAACAAACGGTACTCGGAGCTGATGCTTAAAATTTTTTAACGTTAGATATTTATCATTATTTTAAGGGAATATCATGCGACACTTATTTATGGATATACAGTCTAATCTGTGTTTTGCATAGGATTCCTCTACTTTGAAATAACACAAGCATCTGTCACATATAAATGTACGATGTTGAGTCTTTGATAATTGGCTACTGAGTAGTCTGGAGGGGTTAGAGATCCATGTGTAATGATAAATTTTTTCAGTCGGTTGTTGATCATCAGTTTTTCCGATCATTAACAGATATATGGTGCTTTCAGCTTCTTGCAGTGTTATTGGGGGTCGCGAGCTCACATATGAAGCAACGATCCATTCTTTCCCGGTTTCCTCATCACATTCAATCATATAAACATTTATTGATAGCTCATTCAGTTTTTCAAATTTTGGTATATGCTTTATAGCCATGGGATAATTGAACATACCGAAATTTTTAATGACTGTACTGAATCGTGGATAGGAATTTGGTCGTTTTTTATGTTCAACATTACAACGAGCTGCCATGATGGACCATAAGAAGCAGAAAGAGTCGTCATTATTTTGAACATTGACCACGGCGTGTTTCAGCTGAATCCACCGTGGAAGCTCAACAAAACTCGAACCTCCTCGTAATGGGTTATATTTATTGATATTTACATCCATGTTTATAACCTCCCGGAGTGACCATCTTGAATCCTTCTCTCGGAATTCATCCACCTTGGCTAAAAGTTTATTCTTTATACACCCCTCGAATCACTGGTTGAGGTCAGTGGATTCCAGGACAATCTCATTTTTCGTACTGAAAAATTTGTCTTCTTCCATAAATTCACAATTTTTTCGAACTCCATATTTGCATGACAACACCACGTTCCCTTTTCAAGGCATTTTAAGACGCACCCAAAGCAACCTACCGTGCATCCTTTTTAAATTTAACCCTAGTTTGGTCACCATATGTGAACTAACGACTTTGATCACCTCCGCAGGGATTCGCCGCAATGCTTTCCAAGCGGCAGCGTTGCCATACCGCTCGACCCCCTTCGCGGGGAATCATTCTTGGCATAGTCCTGCACAGTTCTATATTCATTTTTGCTTTCGAGTGGCAGTATTGTAGTATTTAAATTTAAGGTTTGGATTTTTTTATGTTATTTCGACCCATTATGATCCAAAAATTTCGAAAATGCAATTTTTGGCCGTGTCTGCATATATATGTGTATGTATATGTATGTATGTGACTAAGTTTTTCGTCAATTGTGCCTTAATAGATTCATGGAATTGAATTATTTTCCTTCTCAAATGAACGTATTATTGAGACCCCTATCTAGCGCCATTAATTAAAATTCAACTCATGAATTAATTTTTTTCGTTTTCGATTTTCTTTCAAAAATTGGTTATCCCACGATAACTAAAAAAAATGTTCTGATATAATTGAATCGTGGCTTAAAGAATTAGTTTGGATGTCCCCCTGACCGAGTTCGGCGATGATGCAGGTAATAGTAATAATCGTTATTTTAATTTATCGGAAAATTTACAAAAAATTTACTTTTTTCGAAAATGCGAATTCCGAGGATATCATAGCTTCCATGTTTGTTGTAATGCCACTACGTCACAGTTAAATGACGAATACGATAGCTATCTCGGTTGATTTAATTTTTATGATGACTTTTGAGAATTTCCTTCGACCAATTGTATTGGTCGAAACCTCTGCTCACTGAGGGAAAAAAATAAGAATATTCCTCATTTATCATGTAGAGATATGTACGTCTGTCCATTTATATCCTCTATTTTCACGGGAATATTTAGGTCTGCATCGATTAACACATATATGGTAGTTAACTGGTACATTCATCTTTATTGCTGTCTCCAAGTTTGAAAATAACTACATAAATATGTATATCAAAAACTATTCTTCCCTCTACATGAAGTCATCGTGTAGAGACACCAATTTTCATACATACAATATCCATTCTTCTATGCTACGAACAGCGAGATGAAGCTTTTTATTTTTTTCTCTCATCTATGAGAAAAAGAAGATCGATTGAGAATCGATTGATAAATAATCACATCTCTGCTACAGAATGAATCATAGCTATTGCCATCATCATATTTTCATTTACATTTTTTCGTACATCTCAATGTAAAAATACCATGAGCAGAGACATTCAATTTTCATATTGGTCGATATTAACTCTTATAAACTACAGATACTAGAATAATATTTTTACTCTCCTCGATTTAAGAAACGGAGAAATATCCACACAAAAAGGCAATCTCAATATTTATTACGATTTTTTCATCAATGACATTTGTTTTACGTTTGCCAATGCATAGAAACATGAGTAGAATTCATCGATAATAACTCCTATAAAATACTACCAATTAAACAATACTTTCAGTCTTTTTACCTTGAGAAAATGCCAGATATTTACTAGAAAATAAGCAATTACAATGTGCATTGTCATGTGTTCATCAATAACATTGTTTTTGTATTTCTCAATCCGTAAGAAACGTGTGTAGAGATATTAATTTTCATATTTATACATGTAAACCCTTACGAACTATGAACAGTTAGGTAAATCTATTCAGGTTTTTTGTTGTCTCAATAAATCAACAGAGTTTCACTAGAGAACACACAGTATCAATCTTCCTCATCATCGATATTTTTTTTTAATTCTCATTATAAAAGTATTGAAGAGAGATATTAATTTTTTTCTTCATCGATATTAACTCCTATAACCTACGAACCATCAAACAATATTTTTAGTGTTCTCAACTCGACAAACAGCAAGATATTCGTTACTAGGAAAAAGACAATGGCAATATTCATTGTCATGTGTTTATCAATCACATTTGTCTTGTATCACTGCATAAAAAATGTGCGTAGAGACATCCATTTACATATTCATCTATGTGAATCCTTACAAATTATAAACAATCAGGTGCATCTCATAATGCTCTTTTTTCTCAATAAACAACTATAGAATACACTAGATCAATTTTTATCAGCTTCTCATTTGTATCACAAGATTTTTTTCTATTTTTTAACATAAAAGTACCGCGAGTAGAATTATCAATTTTTACATTTATCGAGATCAACTGTTATAAATTACGAACAACTAAATATTATATTTTGTCCCCACAAGTCAAGAATCAATCAGATATTTAAGAGAAAATGAATAACGTCACTATTAATTATCATGTTTCCACAATAACCATCCTTTCCTATTTATCGTTGCATAAAAAACGTGTGTGAGACATTTACTTTCATATTTATTAATTTAAACCCTTACGAACTATCAACGATCAGGTGAATCTATTTTTACGTCTTTTCGTTTCAATAAATAAACAGATTTCACAACAGAACAGGCATCTTCCTTGTCATCATGTTTTCATCAACGTTTTTTTATAATGTCTCATTCCTTAGATTCATCTATATTCACTCCTATAAAGTATGAACAATTAAACAATATTTTATTATCTTCGCAACTCGAGAAACAGCAAGATATTCATTCACTAGAAAAGAGACAATTGCAATATTCATCATCACGTGTTCATCAATGACATTTGTCTCGTATTTATCAATGCATAAAATCTATATGAACCCTTACCAATTATGAATAATCAGGTAAATCTATTAATGCTCTGTTGTCTCAAAAAATAACCGGATGTCTATATCTATATCAGAAAAAGAAATCGATTTTCAATATCTCCTTATTTTTATCAACAACGTTTTTTCTTATATTTCAACCTAAAAGTATCGTGAGCAGAAAATCGATTTTTCGATTTATCTATATCGACTCTTATAAATTATGAACAACTAAATAATATTTTTAGTCTCGAGAAACAACCAGGTATTCAAGAGAAAATGAATAATTTCACTATTCATTATTATATTTTATCAATAACGTTCCTCCTGTATTTATCATTGTACAAAAACTATGCGAACTACAAAAAGTCAAGTTAATCTATTAATACCTTTTCTTGTGCTAATAATTGAATAAATCTCCCCTAAATAATTGGTACTCCGATCTTGATCGTTACAATATTTTCATTAACATTTTTACTCTATGTTTTATTATAAAATCGATCTTCTATTATTATAAATTGGAAGTAAACGTATCGATCGATTCTTCTATCGTATCGATTTATTGATTTTTATCAACTCCTATAAGCTATATAAACAATCAGATAGATTTCTTCATTTTTTTTTACTTGGGAGACAGTTTTTTTTTAAATTATGGAGAAACAATCGAATATTCACTAGATAACAAAGTCTAACAACAAAATTCCAATCTTCATTATAATTTTTTCATCAATATCAGCCCTCCCAGATTTGTCAATGCATAAAAATTGTGCATAGAGGTAACAATCTTTGTATTATCTATGTTTACAATTAAGCATTATGAACTATCAGTTGAATCTATCTATTGTTCTATCATGTCTCTTGAAATAGGGAAATCTTTGATAGGAAATGGACATCATCAGTTTTCTCCAGCATCATATTTTCACATCACTGAGATTTTTTCCTCTACTGATGTTCTTTGTCGACTAAATAAGTGAACAAATCTCTACTACAGAATGAAAAATTTCAATCCCTGTCATTAAGATGGTAATCCTCATCAAAATAAACTCTCGCAGACTATGAATAATTGAATTAGTCTTTTGATTTTTTCCTCTCGCCTGAAAAATATACCAGATCTTTACATGAAGGTGGAGAATATTAGTCTTCCAAATCCTCTGTGGGAAAAATGACTTTCTGATAACAAGCAGCGCAGATCTTGATTGTGTCTTCTTCACAAATTAATTCTGAGCATGAGACACACTCAGAAATAGTTTTCCTACTCTTTCGAGAAGGGTAATAAGCACAAAGACCACGATTCTTCGCCTCCACGGCTGGAATGTCCTGAGGCAAACCTAGACACTTCCTTGCTAGCTGACGAACATTAGTGAGAATATGAGGTTTTCGAGCTCTAATTTCTAGTAGAGATTTTGTCAATGCACGTCCAACATTTTCAATGACATCTTTACGTTTCATTTTTAATAGAGAGTCGCAATTGTAGATCACCACTGAATTGATCATAACAATATTCATGATGGCAAAAAATAAAGTAAGAGACCACCTCCGACTAGCCCTCGCAACATTGAACTTCCCTCTCATTTGGTCTACTGTGTCAACAGCACCTTTCGCGCCATTGTAATAAGCCACGATAGTGGGTTTCTTTTTATTTCCAGTCTCAGGATCGATGCTACTGGATGAGTGCATCGAGGAAATTAACACCGTGCATGTTTTCTTCTTGGTATCGGAAATATATGAAACGAGGGTCATCCTACGATAATAACTGAACAATGAGGAGGCAGGCGCACGACTCTTTGTAACTAAGAACTCAGGAGGAATTGCTCTTTTGTTTTTACGTACACTAGCAACCACTGTTGTTCTGTGATTCCCCAATAAATCGATAGTCACTTCAACTGATGAAAACCAATTATCCATTGTGATGTTTTTTCCCGAATCTAAAGCTACTGCACACACTCTCTTGACAATATCGTAGGGCTTATTACTCACCACTCTCTGAGTCCCAGTTGCTGTCCAACGTAGAGCTCAGTGGAACATGTATAGAATCATTCTGGATCAACCATGGCGAAGATTTTCAAACCACACTTGTCTGGTTTACATGGGATGTATTGTTTGAAGCTACATCTCCCTCGGAAAGCTGCAATCATTTCGTCAATGGTTACATTAGGCCCTGGGGAATATAATTGCTGACATTTCTCATAAAAATCATCGAAAATCTCTCTAATTGGAGCCATCTTATCTTCCTTCCTTCTCTCTAAATGTGACTCCCCCTCGAACCTCAGAGCACGAAGTAATAACTTGAATCCATTTTCCCTCATGGTAGCCCGGAAATAGTCAGGTGATAATCTATTTGTCTTCCATAGATCATGTATTTCTATGTGATTGTGATTTCTGAGGCTTGAAATGTAGAGCAGTCCAAAGAATGGTCTCATTTCGCACACATCTGTCGGTAGGCAGTCGATTTCCCTCTGATAATTTTCTCTGATAACTGTCAATTTTTCGTTTGTGTGGTCTACGATCTTTTGGATGATGTCATCAGAAAAATATAATTCCCAACATTCTAGACATGTTGTGGCTTCTTCGACAGGTTTCTTGACTCCCCAACTGTCAGTGATAATATTTTCCGATCTCCTCTTGGTAACAGGAGGAAATTGAGAACTCCAAACGATCGAGTCATCCTTACTGAAGTACAATTTTTCGTGTTCGTCATCAGATTCATTGAGGTCAGGAAAATGCAATGGAGAATCTGAAGATATTCCTCCTAAGGATTCTTTTTCTGGTCAATTTGGACGTTCCTCCGGTTCTGCATCAGAATAATCCATATCCTCGTCATCATGAAACTTCCAACCTTCATCTCCTTCAATATTAAAAGCAGTCTGTTGCCTCGTAGCCATCTGAAATTTATTAAAACACTAAAATTCATGCTTTTTTGCTCATTTAATGTGAAACAATCTATTTTCTCTCTCCCTTTTTTTCTTTTTTCTTCTTGGGAATGGCGAAAAACATTATTCTTCAAGGGTTTGGCAAAAAAAATAGCTTGGTATCGATAATATGAGGTGGACAAGACTAGCAATATCCTCTAGTAAAATTACGAGGTAATGGGAAAACATCGAAAAATATTTTCGGAAAATTCGGTGTAAAAAATGCCTTTTGTTAATTTTTAATGGACATTACAGTTATGGAGATGATGTAGACTGTATCAAGACCAGAAGCCCTTTCCCAAACTCAAACCATCATTCTTTAAAATATTTTGTTTTTCTCGCGCAAATATTCTTTTCCTCCAGTTTCACATATGAGAAAAAATTGGAATATGTAAAAATAGTTCTCAGAATGCATAATATATCGAATGATATTGAATAACAATAACAATCAATACATACCTTGATTTACCATAATAACCTCAAATCAGAACTCAAGCTTTAAATGAAGTCACACCAATTAATAAAGTCACATGTCCTCGTCACTACAAGTGTAAAAAATTGCACAGTCGATCATCCTCAGTTTTACTGTATGTTCATAGCCTTGCCCGCATCAATTTTCACTTATTCTGTGGACTGGATAAATATTTGTCTATTTTTGTATCAGGTATATCAACTTTTCATCTATGCATTATCAATTGTTAAACTATTTTCCTATCATTAGAATGGTTATGTGCGAATGATGTAGATGTTTTATGTATACACCGGTGGGAGTAGGTCCGAAAGTGGGGGAACGCTTGAGACAAGCGTGGCAACGCTGCACGATAAAAACCACTCACTACTCTGGTCACCATGCGAGGGAAGTGTCGCAATTTCACGTTGCTTCCATCTATTTTTTTTTATTCTGACCTTATGGTGACTTTATTCTATCCGGAAAAAATATGAAAAATTTCTAAAGAAGTTAATGTACGCATTCAAATTTTCTCAAATTTTTCCTGATGATATCCCAGTTAGCAAAAAAAAACATGCGTTGCGGCGTTTCCCTCCAATGGTGACCAAACTAGGATCAAGTAAATCTTATTTTTTCAAATTAATGATGACACTGGTCCTCATGCGTCCATCAAATACTCTTTGAAGGTCCCCCCATCGAACTCCATCAGTTGAATTATCTCTCAAACCTCTACCAACAGCTTCTAGAGCATTGAATGAAACTTGGAATGTTTTCATAAATTTCAATAACATATGTCAATCGCAATTTTTGTCCCTGAGACACGCCCCCATCCAAAAGTTGTTTGACCTCCCGCCTTTTTTCTCTGATGTTATGGAGACTCTGTTGGATTTCCACTGGCTTTCGATTGATTTTCAAAAGCTCGTACTCCTCCTCCAATCGCTTGATCCATTGCTTGCATACCAGAGCCTTCATGGTGTCAAAACTGAGTCGTCACGTGTAAGTTTGCGTAACAAATGCCAAAGAAAAATGGAAAAGTCTCGGTTATATAATCAAACAAAAATGAAGGTGGGGGGTGTGTCTTCAAATCACGTGACCTATGTCAAAGGCAAAATTCCAAGAAAATTTATGTCTGAGAAACATTCACTTTTTTTTACGACCCATTTTTACTCTCGTAACCCTTATCTAGCTAAAACAATGAGAAATGAGGAGTGATTAATCATGTGAGGAAAAAAATTTACAGAGAAAACGCACTGTGGTTGAAGGTTACTTTTTTCCACATGAAATTGCATATATTCGTATACTTTTAACCCGTCTATTAGCTGGACGTTGAAATTTTGGTGGAAGACGTGATATTTTTTTGCGAAATAGAAGAAAATGTGCGTTCAAGGTCATACTCAACTCTGCGCTTGAGATTGTTCAGATAAATTTTCGTGATTTATGAGAGTGACCATGAAGCTTTCTACATTTTCTACTCTTGCAGAATATTTTCGCCAAGTCATATAGCTTTCAAATTCACCGATCAGATATTGGAGTTGAGCGCAGAATTTTTTTTTTTTTTGTCATCTTTGAGAGAGATTGACCTTGAAGGTATCTACGCTCCTTCAATTTTTCAACCAATACGCCTTTTAACTAATGAGCCCCCCCTCTACTGGGTTCCCACTTTGTCGTAGTGAGGGGGCTCGGTCGCGGGCGGTGGAGGTCTTAAGGACTACCGCTGCCCGCGGTCGCTAAGAGGAGTCCACCCAATCCATGTGTGTGAGCGGCGTAAGCCATGGCCTCGGCCTTACCGTGCCTAAGGTTGCGTGGCACAGGGGGAGCTGTGTCGCTAACGGTGCCTCTCAGAAACCTGGGCGACCTCTGAGAGTAGTCTTGGGTGTAACCCACCCGAGACAAGCCAAGCCCTGGGCAATCGCGGCAATGCACCAGGTGAAAACGCTTAACCGCGGTACTCGTGGGACTAAAATGGAAACCAATTTAAAAAATCTTAATATTGAAAAAGCAACTTCGGGTGGGGCCAGCGATGGCGAACACACGAAGTCTGACAAGGCTGACCAGTCTGGTACCGATGTGAATCGGGTCAGACTGAGTGGAGCCGAGAGAAGACGTCGCAAGAGAGCGAAGCTGCATCAAACCTCGGGGGCGATTGCAACCTTGACGGATGCAGCAGCGAAGGTCGATGAGGGAAGGGGGGAGGGGGCTACGAGGAAGGCAATAAAACGCCTTCCATCAGAGCGTACTACGCCAAGCCCCTCAGTCAGACCGAAAGAAAAGAGAATGAGAACGCAGGATCAGGGCACATATGCTCAGAACACTACGAGCTCATTCAAGTTTGCAGTTATGCCGGAGTCATATCCGGATCAGAAACTGGGCACTGAAGAGGTAACGGAGGTGAAGAAACTCCTGAAGAGGGCCATTCTGGCGTTACCTGACGGGGTGAAAGCACCCACCTTCAACGGTGTCTGGGAAAGAGAAGGTGTGGCAATGGTGTGCTGCACTGATGAGGAAGCGGGAAACTGGCTGAAACGCCTTTTCCCCGAAAACAAAATAGCTGGACTTACTGTACGTGTGGTCGCAGCCTCGGAGCTTCCCAAGAAGCACAGGGTTGTACTACACGTGGAAGACCCAGATCTAACCGCTCAAGAAGCACTGTGCTTCCTTGAGAAACAAAATGCAGGACTGCAGGCCAGAGAGTGGGTTGTCGCTCGGGGCAGTGAGAGTAGGGACGCGAAAAGTGCCCACTTCGTTGCGCTGATAGACGACCGATCACTCTCTGTTCTGAAAGCCTGCAACTTCAGACTGCACTGCGGGATTCAAAAAGCTACTGTCAAGCTGCTTGCGAAAGACCGTGGTGAAAGTCAGAAGAAGGGTACATAGAGGTACCAGGAAAGTAGTCATCATTATGGCTGCAACCCGGGTGCACATTGTACAGATAAATTTGCACCACAGCAAAGCAGCCTCGGCTACTCTAGTCAGGCTGTTAGCTGGGATGCAGACTGTCATAGCAATGATCCAGGAACCATGGATAGTGGACAATGCTATTAAGGGCCTCAGTGGTTGTGGCAGAATCTATCACGCAAACACTCAGGAGAAAATTAGATCTTGCATTGTTATTAAAGGACTAGACTCTTTCTTCTGTTCACAGGCTAGTGAGGGAGACCTGGCTGTGGCACAAGTGGATCTGGGCCTGGGACAAGGCGAGGAAATGAGCCTGGTTATAGGGTCAGTTTACATGCCCTATGACTCGGCTGAACCACCTCCTTCGAAAAAAGTAAACGACCTATGCAACCATGTGAAGGAAAGAGGACTTGAACTCCTGCTAGGTTGTGATGCCAACTCGCACCATGTAGCATGGGGGAGCACCGGCATTAACGGCAGGGGGGAAA